CCACGACGCGGGCGGCGCTGGCGGCGCTGGCAGGCGCGCCGCAGCCGCCCCACCCGAAGGGCGGCCCCGCGCGCGCCGCCCGACCGCCCTCCCTCACCGCGGGGACTTTTCTTCTGATTAGTCCCCGCCCAACTCGTTTTGTCTTACTTGGACTTTGTCCCTTCATGGTTACTTCCGGTTACTACCTCCTCCCCCTCCTCCTCCTCCTGGCCCCTCCTGCGCCTCCTGGCCGCCTTCTCCTGGGCCTCGCAGAAGACTTGCTGGCTGCTCGAGGCGGAGGTCCTCCTGCGCCTCCTGGCCGCCTCTTGCGCCTCGCGGCCGCCGCCTCCTGGCCCCCTCCTGGCCTTGCTGCCCCCCCCCCCCACCCCACCCCACCCACCCTTATGATCTGGGGTGCCTCTACAGAAGCCAACATAGCGTTTTGAATAAAGTACTCTGCAAGTCGTCTGCGCGCTTCCCCGCGGGTCGTCCGCAGAGTACTCTGCAAAGTAGTCCGCGGCATAGTCTAAACTCTGAGCTTCAGAAAATGTCATCTGCATGTTTGATTGTCTCGTTCGCTATATGTTGGCCTAACCCTCGCACAATATGACGGTACCAACGCCATCCCTACGGTAGGCAACACAAGGGGGGAGGGGATGATGTAAGATAGAAAGGAGGATTGGAAGAGGAGTGCTCGAAGAGGAGTGCTCAGATGAGGGAAGTGCATGTGGGAGGGAAGCGTGACACAGTAAGTCGTAGTGTAGTGTGCGTGCGTGATTTGTGGTCATATACAGCGAGTGGCAGTACCATCGGATGCACACTTTGCAACACAGGCGGCAGACCTTCCACCGCATTCGTTCGCAGGGTCATTCATTTGAAAAGTGTTGCCCCCTGGTGGTGCCTCGTCGGCGCGGCTGGGCGCGCCTCGAGTGGACTGGCGGAGTTGTTCGCGGATGGGGGCGGGAAAGGGTGGACAGTGACACGTGCCAGCGCGCAACAGTGCAGCAGTGGACGCGCACAGCCACCAACACGCATACATCGTGCGGATGCACGGCCCTGCGTTTGCTTGCACTCCGCCGCGTTTGGCTCCAGGGTTGCGTTTCTGCACATCATGCGTGCCTCTCTCGGGCCACATGCCCCTCCCGCCCAGAAAGCGGGGGCGCCCATCGGCACTGAGGCACTTACTTGAGGAGGGGTCGTCACAGGATGACGCCGACGACATCGACCCCCCCATTGATGTCATTCCTGCTGTTGCTCGCGCCGTCCACCAGGCCGAGCGTCAACATGCTCCGAAGTTGGTCGGAGTTCCTGGCCGCCTCGTCTTGCATCCGAAAAAAAGGCGCTTCTGCCTGTTCCGTCGTTCGAGCTGGGGTCGTTCGTCCACTCGACTCTTGGAGTTCACGGTTCCCCGTGGTCCATCGGCCCAGCCTGAATTATTGCAGGTTCGCCAGGGAGTTCCTCTGGGCGAGCAGCAGCCACAGCATCAGCAGTACTTTTGAGAGAGCTGGATGCGACCTTGGAAAAGATGGGACATAGGTGCAAATGCAGCGGCGCAGGATTGCCGCAGCAGGGGAGCTGGTCGAGCGAGATCAACAGGTAGCGTTGCAGGTCGTCTCTCAAGGATGGGCAAACGCGGCGGTGGGGGGAGGGCACGGGCGGTCGGCCCCTCGTGCATCGCCTTCCCCTTCTCTCGACCCCCCCTCAGAGATGATGGGCGGCATGGGGCAGGGGAGAGTGGTGCACGGGCTGGGGTTGACAGGGGGCACGTGCATTCGTCCGCCCGCGCGTGCCGCGAGGTCAGGCTTGGCCAGGCCATGTCAGATCATCTGGAGCTGGCGGCGGTCGTGGAGAGCGCGAGGTACGACGAAGCTACGCGCCTGATGACGGTGAAGCAGGACAGCGGCATTCCAGAGTTCAGCGACCATGTTAACAAAGCATTCGACCACATTGGCAAGATGTCTGAATTCAAGGAGACGGTGCCAGCAAAAATGTTTCAGACGCAGCATTCGTATGGGTTCCTCTTTGCAGTTCGTCAGCCAGGTTCTGAATCAAGACGGCATGTCATTATTAGGACTAACGTAGTCGGATTGCCTACAGTACTTCAGCGGACCACGGCTCCCATCATAGCACATGCGTTGAAGCAGTCGAGTTGCATGAGGTGGCGGTCGGTCGCTGCTGCTAAATGTCGAGTTCGGTTGATATGCAGCGACCGTTACGCGGCCCAGTTCTTGGCGGAAGAGTTTCTGCAGGCTGATCGAGTTGGGCGGCGTCGTTTGCATCTTGGTTGTGAGGTGCACAAGTCCACAGCTTGCCAGGCGAAAGGTTTGTTGTTGGTGGATTGTTGTATATCTGGCTGCATTCGCGCGGCGCTGAGCTTGCGCCTCGGCGGGTGGACGCGGGTTTTCAGGCAGTGCTTGCCCCAGGAAGTTTGCGACACAATTCTGGTCAAGTTTGGGCGTCGCCCAGCTTCTGCAACAAAGCATCGACAGATGTGCCTGCGCATATTCTCTGGAAACAACATCAGGCGTCAGAGAAGGCTCCAGTGCATCATGCAGTGTCTTCCCAATGGAGATTGGACTCGCACGGACTGCGTTGAAGTGCACGTCCAGCCAGGTGTGGAGTACGTTGAAGGAGATGTTGCAGGCCTCGTCGCAAAAGGTCTGATGCTGTGCCCCGCTGGAAACATGTTTAAGATCTTCAACAGGAAGCGCTGGACGAATAATGACGAAGCTGTGAACCAACTAGGTCTCATTCAGTGTTGCCACGGGCTTCTCGTTCGAGTCTACAAGCGGTGGCTGAAGCAAGCCGGGCACAACGGCGATCTGAACTACGGGCGCGGGTGCCACCCGAGCCGACGTGGACTGCCCGACGCTCCTCCGATCGCTGACGAAGCCGATCATGCTGATGCAGCTGGCTTGGCCGGGCCCCCTGATCTCGATGACGACGGAGGCGGCGGCGCCCCCCCCCCAGGAGGCGAGGCGGCGCCAGCCAAGACGTCGAAGGACTCCGACGCCTTCGCACTGCAGAACGCTAAGAATCGCAGGGTTGCTCTTCATTGGCTGAATGGCGAGCCTACCAGTGACCTCATTGTTCTTATGTTGGCAATGGAACCATCCATGATGATATTGCGACAGCAGCTGACAATATCCTCTGCGTCGTGGGAGAGGTCGCAAACACTCGGGGCTGCGCGCGCAGGCCCAGGCAGTGGCCTGCGATATTACAGGATCCCTGTATCGGCAAGGGGCGACCTAGACCGCCAATTTGCCAATGCCACCCGCCAATTCGTTACTACCGAGGGGTCGTTCTGGATTGTGATGCCCGACCGCCACATCACTGCGTGTTGGAGGTGCATGGCCTTCAGGATGGCGAGCAGGGCGGCTGCGGAGTACGCTCGGGTGTTGACGTTCGCGCACAAGAGGCCTCCTTTCGTGTTGTTCTTGGTTGTTCACTACCCTGCTGTCGCGCAGCAGCTTAGGAAGTTGCCCACGTGCTTGCTGGACCCCTTCACGCGTCACATCATGGAGACGTTCGATCTGGAGTCCCCCGAGCTGAAAGGATTCTTGACACTGCTCATGCTGATGGGGTACACTGACACCGCTGAGATCGAGCGCTGGCATGCTTGGGTGCGCCGTTTTCTCGTTCGCAGAGGCGCCCAATCCAAAAGGCCTGAGATGGGGGACTTGAATGCGGAGGCGTTCGCACACAGGTTGAAGGCTCGGAGCCGCGAGTTGCTTGAGTGGCTGGAAGCCAACGCAGTGGGCAAGTATCACGAGGCGTTCAACGTTGACGGGGAGGACAGCACAGTTGCCACCAACAGGCGGAGCAAGAAGAAGAGGCGCGGAGGAGGTGGCGAATGGAGGGCTTACTGCAGCAGCAAGCTCCGCGAGGGCGCGACTGACTTCCACGAGATAGCTATCGGCTACGCTGCGCGCGGCGATGCAGAGAGGCATGCCAACGCGCGAGACGGGGCTGCTGCTACCGTACGACAACGACAGAACCAGCGGGCATTCGGACCGAAACCCCAGGATCAGCGCAGATTGGCTCTCCACGAGGAGGCGATTGAGTTCAACCGCCGACACCCTTTGACGGATGTCGCTGCCTTGTCGTCGACCCCCACTGCAGCAGCCGTGGCGTTGGCGGGCCACTCGGACGACCGAATTGAACACATGCTGAAGTTAGTGAACGCTGTCAGCCACTTGGACTACCAGAAGCGCCAATGGCGCGACGAACGGGCCACCCTCTGTATCAATGAGTTCGTCCAAACTAAGACAAGAGACATTGTACGAGACGTGGTATCTCGCGTGCAGGCGTTGACCCATTGGGCTGGGAAGCTTGTGGCAAAGCCTGTCTTGAGGGTGCCAGGTCTTGAACTTGATTGGTGCGATGTCTTCTCTGAGGCTAACCGCGTCGCTTTTTCTACTGCCAGGACGCTTTCTTCAGCCGACAAAGCTGGGTGCAACTGGGGGGCAGCCTTGGACAACTACTGGGCAGCTCGCCACAGGCCAGTCTTCGAAGGAGATTGGGTTGGTCCGACGTGCGGCGCAGAGGAGTCCGAGTGTCACCGACATGGTTTTTGCATATGTTGCCCATCAGGTCGCCGAGTCCAAGGCTTTCGCAACTCGGTCCTCACTGCGATCAAAGAGCTTGCGCCCAGGAAGACCCGCATGAGAGATTTGGTGGTCGATGGTTTTATCGTGATGCGCCTCAAGGGCACTCCCGTCGACTCCGTTTTCGCTGGGCTTGACGATCCAGAGCTCGAAGATGAGGACTCTATCGTCGCATGGTGGCACCTGTCTGAGCTGATTCTGTCGCCGCACACCCCTGTGGTACAAGTCATGGACTTCGCACGCGATGGCGATCGGCATCGCCCACTTGGCAATCGCTGCGTTACTTTAGAGGCAGCTCAGGGGGGGGGGACGGAAGTAGATGCAACGGAAACACGCAACAATGGCAAGGGCGGTTTGGCAAGGACAAGGGAGGGACAGTTAGAAAGGGGCACGGAGAGACCCACCCGCTCTCAGGCATCCTGCGAGTTCTTGGTAGACTTCGAGGCGTTCGCGGACCTGGACACCCAGAACTTCAACTGGACGCTGAAGTTCTACAAGCTGTCCGAGGCTTGTGTAGAGCTGCCCCGCTGGGAGTTTGTTTTGAAGTATCAGCGTGTCTTGCCAGTCGAGTCTGAAGAAGTCCAGGTGCGGACAGCCCCCAAACGCCCTTGCCCTCCGAAACCAGGTCGAGGGGCCGGCAGGGATCGGGGCAGGGGTCGCGGAGGCCGCAGGGGAGGAGGCGTTGCAAGGGGAGGCCGCGCCAGGGGCCCAGGGGGCCGATGGGACCCAGCACCCATCATGGATGCAGAAGAAGACCAGCCTGAGTCTGAGTCTGATGGCGGTGCAGCGGGTGGGCCTGTCGACGATGTCTACGACAGCCCTGATGAGGGAGGCGCTGACGAGGAGGGCGGCGGCCTCCATGGGGGGCCGCCCGAGGACCCAGAGGAGAGGCTCATCCCAGACGACCTCCAGGAGAGTTGGGCGGCTTTCGTGCTTCGACCGTGGGTTTCGCGCGTCGACCGGTGCCCTGAGGGATCGATCCGACAGTTTGCCGACTCACGATCGCGCCGTTCGACCGACCACCCCGCCACCTTTTTTCTGATGGGGGGGGCTGTCTAGGTCTGAGGGGAGGCTGGTCGGCGAGGCAGGTTTCTGGAGAGGTCATGGGGTGGGATGGTTTCCAGGAAACTTGAGGCCTCTGGAATGATGAGCTCAAGGTTGATCGGTGCAAGCGGCGTCAGAATCCATTGACCGCGTCGGCAGCTCCTTGCGTCCGAAAGTTCTTCGTGTACCAAATCCGGAGGAAATCATACACGCGGAGCTTCTGGATGACAAGTCAGATGATCCAGCTCATGAGGCTGGCCCCGAACCAGTCGAGGCTGATGGCGTCGACGGCGAATCCGACTGCGACCACGAGGGCGGCCACGGGGACTTGTTCGCAGGCGACGCGGGCGACGTCGACGCCCCCGCCGACGCAGGGGGCGCAGGCGCCCCCCTGGGAGGAGCGGCGGCGGCTGGGGCAGCTGACGGCCCTGGCGCAGACCCCCTCTGGCAGGAGCTCCACCTCCGCCAACAGATCGTGGCCCTCGTGGTCGCGCAGACGCCGTTGCATATCTAGACGGTGGGAAGATAGCTCTCTACACAAAGTGTCGCAGGTTTGAAGCCACATGCACGAATTCTCACCATGGCAAGTGCACGAGGGCCCGCGTCATTGAGTTCAGAGCCAAGGCGCCCCACCCACCTGTCGCATGGTTGGCAGCGCGGCTCACGAGAGGCCACGTGGACACGAAGCCGCTTCATTGGGCCCCAGCTAACGATCCGACAGCGGATGAGATCCTAAGGGCCCGAGGTGAACTGAATGCGAGCACTGACCCCAATGTAGTTGAAGTTCTGGCGGTGGAGCGGCGTGGGTATCCTGCCGCGGGGTTGTAAGTTGATTTGTTCGTTTCTGTGCAGTAGCGCGTAAATTAGAAGTGCGTGACCTCTCTCCCTTATTCGCGTCAGCCTTTCAATCTTGCCCCCCGTCCACCCCCCTTTCCCACGATTGCGGGATTGGCGAGGGGCAGCGGGGACAAGCGCGGGGGTGCCCCGCCTTTGCACGGCCAACATGGGGGGAGCTAGCGAAGCTTTAGAACATAATAGTGCGAGGATGACGGGGGAGGGCGAGGTGAGGTGAGATGGAAGCTCAGAGGAGGTAGGCAAGATGAGAGAGGGATGCTACACCGAAGATGTCAATGATATACACAATATCATCGCGTTCCCCTCTTCAGCCGTGCTTCCCAACCGCCGTTTCAAAACCCCAGCCCCGTTCCAGACACCTCAACGCCCTCCGACCCCGCTGCCCCTGCTACCGGCACGCCCTGGGGGGGGGGGTCGATCTTAAAGAGGCTGATTCGATGTTGTCTGCGCTCCCATTCTACTCATCTCTCGCACGCTGGATCCGCCCTGCCTACGCGGACCGCCGCACCTCTGGCACGAGTGCCGCCAGAGCGGCGGCGTTGCAGACTTCTTCCGAAGGGGGCCTCGGTGCGGGAGAACTCCGCGCAGAGTACTTCCACGACAGCCCTCCCGAGAACTCGTCCTGCAGAGTACTGGTTCGGCGCCGCCTTGGCCAAAGTACTCTGCGCGCGCGCCCCCCCAACCGACATACTATGCAGGAGACCCCCCCCGAGCGCAGAGCACGTTGCAGAATGCTTTTCCAGCCCCCTCCTGGCGCAGAGGACTTTGCAGAGGACTTTGCAGACGACTTGTTTCGGGAAAAAGTCCTCTGCAAAGTACTCTGCGCCAGGAGGGGGCGGGACAAGTCCTCTGCAAAGTACTCTGCAATGTACTCTGCGCAGGGCGGGGGCGGGACACGTACTCTGAACAGTACTCAGCATCAAGGGCGGCACCCGGAACAACTCTGCGCATAGTATTTTTGGCCGAGGGTTCGCCGAGAACACCTCTGCGCATACTACTTTTAGGGCCGCGGCGCGGCCAATCTAGTCTGCAGCCTGGCTGGCTGTCTCCCGCCCTCAACCTCCTCCTGCTCCTCCGCCTCCTCCTCCTCCTCCTCCTACTCCTCCTCCTCCTCCTCCTCCTCCTCCTCCTCCTCCTCCTCCTCCGCCCCTGATCGGATCGTCCACTCCACCTTTCTACTTTCCGCAATTCAAGTAGCATTTCAGCCGGCAGGTGCGGCAGGTCTCTTCAGTGCGCCGTCACTGTTGCAAATGCTGCTGCGCTCGGGGATTGCCCAGTCGCCGTCGTGCTGCTATATGCTATATGCCAGGGGCAGGCCTTTGAGATAGCACTGTTGTCATACAACTAATTTGCGCGTGCTAAAGGCACGCACCGCTGCGTTCGACACGCACGCTGACACGATTTGCCCACGCAAAGGCACAGTCACGCTACATAAGCAAGCGTTTGACGATCAAACCATCGATCACTAGGTACATACATGCAAGGTGAGCGCACGCAGAACACACTCCCATGCAAGCGATGTCCAGTCGGCGCGCAACGAGCGCGCGCCCCAGGCACGGGCAGGGGGGAGACGCTGGCCCAACGTCCTTCAATCAATTCCCCAAGGCCCCTCCCCCATCAACAGAGCCAAGTAAAGGCCCGAGAGACCCTCCTGGTGAACATGTTACGCTATAGTGGTTTAGACCATCATCCGTAAATGAAGTATATCCATAGGCCAGCTGTGCAAACCGTGACCCTGAAATTATCAACTACCCCAATAAAATAATTCTTGGGTTTCCGGAACAGATTACGGCCCTGCAGGCCCGAACTATTTTTGCGTTTCCAGAGCGGAGTTATTCCCCTCCCTCTAAATAACCCGCCCGCGTGCTCTGCCCCCCCCCCCCCCCCCATCATTATGTCACCTGCGCGCACTCATGATCGCCCACATTGGCCAATCGATTCCATTTGTTGGAAACACGCGAGCAACGGGATCAGGATGGCGCTTTCGACCTCTGGGCCTTTGAATTCAATGCGAAGTGTAAGAAGCCCTCAAATGGGGAGCTCGCGAGGCGCCCAGTGGGCCCGCAGGGCATCGGGACTTGCCACAAGCCCCTGTGCATTGCCGTGCGCCTGTGCGGATTGGGGCCCTGGGCCCAGCCTGCTCCAATTTATTTTTCCTATCATAAACACATTGGAAGCGCTAGCAAGTCACATAAGGTCCCACATTGGTTTCTGTTGGGGTCCTCTAAGTGGTTCTGGATGGGGCCAGCGCTTCGCAAGCGTAGATGCATCGCGACAGTCAAGGTACTCGGCAAGTTCTTATCCGTGCCAAATTTGCCGACGTCGGGGCCTGAGTGTTCGGTGTCTGTCTCCTCCTCCTCCCTCTTCCTTCTCCTCCCCCTCCTCCTCTTCCTTCTCCCCCTCCTCCTATCCATCCCCCTCGTCCTCGCCCCCCGCCCCTCAGGGGGCGGCCAGCGATGTTGGCTGGCGAACGGGGGGGGGGGGGGGCAAAGGGGGTCAGCGCGTCGCAATCCGCGGCTCGCACCGCGAGGGGGCTGCCCCCCCCCCCCCCCCCCCCCTTCAGGATTTCGCGAAGGCCCGAACCCACGCGCTTCTCTCAGTGAGATCCAGGAGGCCCCTCCCCTCACCCTCCCCCCCCCCTCCCCCCCCGCGCGGTTTTCAGCTGGCGCTTGGAGCCATCGGGCCTTTAGAACTTCCCAAGGGTTGGCCGCTTGGGGCCTCGGGGGAGAAGGAGCGACGCGAAGAGGGGCAGGGGGGGGCGGTTGAGGAGGGGGGAGGGGGCCCCTGATCTTCGCGCAAGGCGCGCTTGAACTGTCGTCTTTGTGGCACAGCCAGCCTCTTTGGCTCGATCAGCAACGAGGTGTTTGGCCCTTGGCTGGGCTTCCATATCCCGGTGCGAGTATTTCTACATATTGTATGCATGGGGAAAATAGGGAGGCGACTATCGACAAAGCCTAGCGCTCGAGGCTCTGCAGACATCCCCGACGATGGCAGCAGCGATATGGATGTTGGACCCCCTGGCGCAGGGAGGAAGACGGCCCCAGCCGGCTCTCCAAAGGGTCGTAATCGAGGTGGTGTTGGTGCTAGTGGCGTTAAGGTTCTGATCTGTTTGAGGTGCAAAGGTAACAACAAGGAGAAAGAGTTTGCGACGGACCTGAATATGCCCCTTGCAGAGCCCAACCAATGCGGAGAATGCTACGGCACCTGGGCGCCTCTATCTCCATGCACGACGTGGTCCGAGTTCTGCGAGAAGTACACCGAAGACGAGGACTTCAAACGCAGGTGTCAAAGCTGCGGTCAGGAACCCCAGCAAGCTCCAGATCTACTACTCTGGTTTCTTGAAACAGGACGTGGCAAACGTGCAGAAGTTTGGCATCGAGCTTGCTCGTCATGGCAGCTTCCTCACGGAGGCGCAAGTGAAGGATGAGTTGAATCAGACCCCAAAGCAAGCCAAGATGGATGGACCCATCCCGTTGGATCTACCCACTGGCGAAAGTCAGCGAGGCTACTTGTTCTTGAACGGCAAGAGCAAATATTTGGACGTCAAGGTGTTTGCCACGACTTCTGTCGACTCAGCGGAGTTCTCAGCCGACAGGAACGCTCAGGTCATGGACATTGGGCCTGAGGCAGTGCAGCATGCGTTCAAGCAGCTCGGGCGCGAGACGTCGATCCTTTCGAACTTCCTG